ACTAATGATATGGGTTTGTATTTCACGCGTATAAAACTTATAAGGGGTTTAAGTATAATATTTTAAATATAAAAGAGTCTATGTAATTAAGTGATAAATTTATGAAATCTAGGTGTAATTTATCCATTTTATTTCTTCGCTAAAAATTGTATGACCATGACAAAGTAACTAAGTGCATCAAAATTGCAGGATGGTAGTCATGCAAACATGTGTTTCTTGTGCATTCCGTATCACTGTATGGCAACTCCGCAATAAGAAAAGTTTTAGGCTTGTTATCCAAGAACTTGTTCAAAAATATCATAATGAAAGGAACATAGAAATTTGTCGCTAAATATTTGACCAAATAGTATCGTCCAGTTCCTATAGAACCTATCAGTAAAATACCCCTAGAAGAAGTTCGGATTGTTTCAGCTTCAATTGAAATTGAATGGACTCCCCACCTTTAAGTTGGATGAAAATCAATTGTGATGGAGCCTTTTGCAAAAACGAGTCATCGAACATCCTATGCTGCTGTAGCGGGCAACAATGCAGGTCTTTTTGTGACTGGAACATCAGCAATGCTATGCAACGAAGCGCCCGTTCAATGGCACAGGATGAAAGCTATCGGGATGTTATCTTTGAATCAGATTCAAAGCTTCCTTCTAATAGAGAGGGTGATGTTATGCTCATCAAATATTTTTATCGAATCTCTTCTTAAATGATATAACATAATTTTTTATTATTAGATAAGTGGGTCTCATTAATATTCAATAACGAAGATTGTGTCACATCATTTGGTATGAAAAATTTGGTAAGTTTTTTTTAGTAAGCATAACATTTTTCTTGGATAAAATATTCGATATAACGGTGACATCACATTATTTCTAACAAATGATATTAATAATCAATTATGAAAAAATACGTAGGAGTAAAAGATTCCACCAAATTTTATAACCGTCAATGACATTCATATTCAATAACTAACCATGTGAAATTAGTTGAATTCACGTATCTCGCTTACTTATTATTGATCGATAATACCATGTGACGAATATGACGTTGTGTACATTGCAATACTACTTAGATTAAATTTATTGATCTAATTTATTGATCTAGGGAATTATTATCATTAGAATCCGCCATCAATTCAATAATTATGATTCATTAGATTAACAAATAAGATTCATAAATTAATTCTAAATAGCATTTTCCATGGATATTTACTACCACGTCGCTTAATTCACTTCCTTCACTTTAGTAAAAAATATTTTAGCTTATGATTTCTAGCATAAAATAAAGGGAGAATTTCACCTTGCACTCCAAAAGATTTAAGCTTTTTCGCTTTGTACCCTTAAATATTAAATTTTTTATATTACACCATCAATATATTTAAAGTATTGTAATATGATCTTTCCGCCCTTTTGTTGCTTATTTCATCAAAACTCACCCCATTGAAGTTGACAGAATGAGTATCAAAAATTAACAGAAAGATCATATTGCAACACTTTTGATACGTTAAAGGTGTAATATAAAAAATTTAATCTTTGAGGGTATAAAATAAAAATTCCTAAATCTTTTAGAGTATCAAGTGTAATTTTCCCTAAAACAAATGCTATTTTCCACCCTTTCCATTAAAAAAAATGAAAATATTACCAAATTGGTATCTAAATAATTGATCTTTTTCCCTATTACTTTTTTATGAAAATAAGAAAAAAAAAAAAAAAAGAAACAAAGAATAATTTTTAAGGTAAATTACAAAAATCTACCTGAACTTGAGGTCTGCTACAAATCACTCCCTCATAATTATTAGTTGCACTTAACTCCCTCTTACTTGCGAATAAACTAAAAATCTAACAGAATTTGTTTATTGTAACGGTGCCGCTATTACACCCGCTAATTAAGCACGTGTGATATGAAATAAATAATTTCTTTTCCTATATTAAAAAATCATATTACAAATTTTACTCTTCATCCAAATTTCTAGCATTTCTTTTTCTCAATCCCCTTCACCAGCGCAACTCTCGTTTCTGCAACTCTCGTTGCTGCAACTCTCGTTGCTGCAACTCGCCACACCGATACAACTCACCCACCTAATCCACCCATAGTCGTTGCGACTAGGAATGACAATGGACCGGGTAAAAATGAGTATTCGTCCAAATCTGTCCCGTTTGGACTGGGGATGGGTCAAACGTATTAGACGGTGGACGTATACAGGAATACCTGTATTGATTTTTTTTTCATGATTTTAGCTTGTAAAAGTGTAGATTTTTATATTTTTATATTTTTTTATGTTAGATTATGTTATGTTACATTATGTTGTGTTGCATGATATTGCGTTGGATTTACAAAGAAGACAAAATTTTAATTATATTATGTTGGATTATGTTGTAGACAATGTTTTAATTATATTATGTCGTAAATGACAAACTTTTAATTATGTTATGATATTCTATTATTACGTTGGATTATTTAAAATGTTAGATTTATTTAGAATTTTGAATTATCTTAGCTTGAACTTGGGTTTGGGTTGGGCTTGGACGAGGGTGGGGGCGCAGGTGAAGGCGGGAAACGAGGCAGGGACGGGGATTACAAATTTATCTGCGAACGAGAATAGAGATGAAATTTATCTGTTAACGGAGATAAGATTATAAATTTATCCGTTAACGGGATGTACTGGAGATAGACAAAATTTATTTAAGTGAGTACGAGAATGGAGACTACATCTCACCCCTTTTCGGTCCCCTGCCGTCAGTAGCTGTGACTCCCCCACCCAAACCCAACCCCCGCTGTCGTAACTCTCCTAACCCACAGCCACACCAACAAATCCCCTCTGTCGCGTCCAAGTTGAACAACTTTTTAATTTTGGTCAAACCTTTTGAACAAGTTAAATCCTGGCTCTTCTCCAACAAATGCAATCTCTCTTTCTCTCTCACACAGACATACACACTCTGTCTCGTTGTTATTTCTGTTATTCGAATTGGAGGAGTTTGATTGCTTCTTCAGTGGTGGTGGAGGTTTATGTGGTAGGTTGCGCTGGTGGAGGGGATTTGATTGGGTGTTCAGTGGTGCTAGTGGTGAGGGTTTGTTCACTTTGTTGAGTATTCAGTGGTGGTGGTCACCTGACGGCGTCTTAAAGATAGAATCCAGGAATGAGGGTGTTATTGGTGCTTTGTTCATATAATCGAATTTGGTGATGAAGAAGTCTGGAGTTGTTGGTCAATTTGGTTATGGATCTCCATTTTTTGGGTAACAATCTTTGGGGGAATTATTGGGACTGAGGTTATGGGGGTGGAGAGGGAGTTTTATGGGTGGGTGTCATGGTAACGAGAGAATTTGCGGTAATGGTTTGGTGGTTGGTTGAGGTGGTGAAGAAGGAATTTGTGGGGCGTAGTTGTAATGGAGTTGGAGATGTTATGTCGTGATGGGGTGCTACTGTGGTGGTTGAGGTGGAAGTGTGCTAATCGTAGGTTTTGTTCTTTAAAGATAAGAGTTTTATGATGACATTAGAGATGTCAAATGTGTCGGGTTAAATGGTTACGTGTCGAATTAAACGTGTGACGAGTGAAAAACATGTAAATTCGTACATGTCGTGATGGGGTGCGACTGTGGTGGTTGAGGTAGAAGTGTGCTAATTGTAGGTTTTGTTCTTTAAAGATAAGAGTTCTACAATGATGGCATTAGAGATGTCAAATGTGTCGAGTTAAACGGTTACATGTCGCGTTAAATGTGTGACGAGTGTAAAATATGTAAATCCGTACACGACACGTTTAATAAATTGGTGAAAAATATCAACACGTACACGACCCGTTTAATAAACGAGTAATACGAACGACTAATTTAATTTTAAAAAATTATATCAACAAAATTTAATACTCTATTTTTTTTTTTACCACTAGCTGTACTTATTTCAAAAAAGAGGAATTTTTAGTTAAATTTCACATAAAAATCAAATTTGAAGGCTAAACAAATAAAAAAGACAAGAGGCCACTGTTTTTTATAGGCAAATCAACCCTCTTCATCTCCTATTATTTGTCGATATGGGACAAAAACAAAAGACATTAATTTGCCTTTGTCTTTAAACTGCTCCCCATATCCCCATCTCCCTCTCATTTGTCTTTGAACTACTATTTTACTTTTTTTTTTGTATTGTTTTTTTTCACTTCTTTTTTTTTTGGCTAATTTTTTTAAATAATTATTAATTTTATTTAAACGTGTGATAAACAGTTTAACAGGTCTCACATAAACACGATTCGTTTATTAAACATGTCTTACGGGTCAACCTGTTTACTATCCAAACCCGTTAAAATCTCACTCAAATCCGTTTAATTCGTATTAATTAATCGTGTTGTGTCTGATTTTGATAGGTCTAGATGGCATCATAAATAAAATTGGATTACAATCAAAGAATAATTTATTCTTTTTGTATAAACCATTACCTTTGGTAACATTTACGGTTTGTTCACAAATTAAAAAACGGTTCAGTGAAACTCTTAATTATTGAGAAGAGTAATGTGCACCTGACCTTTTTTTTTTTTTTTTTGGTTGGTGGGGTGTGTCAGACCGAGGCAGCAGTGCAATGGCAAGGTGACGCGAGCCCCAGCAGCAAGCAACTGCAGGGGACCCTCCCTCAAAAAATTAATTTAATATCATGTGATACATTGAGTCACATATCATATATTGAACTGATAAGAATGGTTATTACACTTAATCCCAAAAAACCGAGAAAGATACGACGTGCAATTGACCATAATTTCGGGTGAGTTTTCTATAATTTACCCTACTTTTTAAGGGGCCTTTGGTAGGATCTCTTATTTTTACTGTTAACTAAAGAAAGGACGTGAGAGAGAGATTTTCGGTTCTCTTCTCCATCCTCACCCAAAACAAGAAAATAAATAACAAAGAGAACGAAAAGAGAGCATTGTCTGGTGTTTCTGGTGTGCCAATTAACTCTTTCTCTGACCCCAAAAAAAAAATATCAACTCTTTCTCTGTAAGAGAGAGAGAGAAGAAGAAGAAGAAGAAATGTGGCTTTCAAAGGGTAGTAGCGCAGAAAGGAATGGTGGTGGAAATAGGTTGGTGGCAGTTGCCATAGACAAGGATAAAGGTAGCCAGCATGCTCTCCGATGGGCCATTGACAATCTTCTTAGCAGAGGACAAGCTGTCGTTCTCATCCATGTCATACATAAACCCCTATCTGCTTCATGTAATTCTCTCTCTCTCTCTCTCTGACACACACACACACACACACAAAAGGATGAAATTGTGCATAGAAAATATATATCACATTTGCAAATGCGACATCCGATAAGTTAAAAAGTTCTATTGGGTTAAACTAATGTCCAAACTTATGTCCTATACTGCAGAAAAGATCTCTGAGACAAGCAATTCATCGACTCTTGCTGCGTAATTGAAGTTATTTATCTGTCATTGATTTTGTTCGGGCACGATTGAATATCACTCTATGATAAAATAGGCCATCTTTTTTCACGGTTATTGCCATTTTACTGATTCAGTAAACTTATAAGAATATGGAAACTTTTCTTGTGTGCCTATTATATTGCCAGGGATCTCCAGTATATATATATATAATTCATTGATCATGGGGCATTTTAAATTGTCCATCAGAATAGTTGTGTAATTTTTTTTTTTTTTTTTTTAATGGTAAGGGGTGTCCGGGTGCTTACATATACCTTGATTAAGGCAGGCTATTCATAGTTGGAGTACAGTATTTATGAAGAATAAATCTCGCATAGTCTGGCCCAAGGGATTGTCAAGATTCGAATTTAGAACTTCTGGGTTTATAGCTCATTTGGAATTGTAATCTTTTTCAATATTACCAAGAACCAGTTTGTATGTTTCTTGAATCGAGGTTTTTTTCGTGTCAATCTGCAAGAGAGGCTTTGCATTTTATTGAACTCTGTCAATGAAACTTTAGATGGCAAAATTTCTGCAGTTTTTTTGGTCAATTTTAGCTAGATGGCAATGACTTATTATGTGGATGCAGTTGGGAACAATGGTGCTGTTTCTGATGTCAATGGAGCTGTGTATGCTCATAAGCAACAAGTCGAGAAGCAAACCAACGAATTATTCCTTACCTTCCATTGCTTTTGTACCCGTAAAGATGTAGGTTCTGAAACTGTGTTCTTGTTTCTCCCTAATGGACCTTTTTATACAAACATGACATTTATTTCAATACTTTCCCTCCCCCCTTTTCTGTGTTTCACACATGCAGCTTTTTTAACAGATACAGTGCCTTGATATCATACTTGAAGATACAGATGTTGCGAAAGCGTTGACAGAATATGTTTCTTATGCTGCAATTGAAAACTTGGTTCTTGGTGCCTCATCACGAAATAGTTTTATCAGGTGATTTCCTCACATTTCAAATACCTTTCCTCACCATTGCCCCAATCAGAAGCAGGCTTAGTTTTTCACCTAGATCATACCAGGAAAATGATTTAGTGATTTAAGAGAGCCATTAAACTATCTAATGAAGAAGGCAGATTAACTACAAAGCAAACACATTCCATGCATGATAGTAAATAAAGAAGAAAAAAAATGATTGCTAGACATAACCATGGAAGGGAACACTAATCAGTCCATTAGTTACCAATACTTCCTCTTTTTCAGAACTCCCAAACTATACAATATCTACCCAGTCAAAAAAAGAGAACTATACCATATCTACTGCTGCTTACACTATTTTTGTTGTTGTAAACTTTTCGCAACAGAAAATTCAAGATTTCAGATGTTCCTACCAATGTCTCGAAAGGAGCACCAGATTTCTGCACCGTGTATGTCATCTCCAAAGGAAAAATGTCATCAGTGCGGAATGCCTCTCGTTCAGCGCCTTTCACTTCTCCTCTTCTTGACCAACTTCATGACCAAGTCAATAGCACTGGCTCTCTTGCTGATGCAAGGCCCAAGCATAGTTTTAATCTAAAAGGTTTGACTCTGTAAATTATGATGCTTTCTTTTGATTTTGTATTCTTTCTCAGATTTTCACTTGTAAAAGATGTGGAACCTGTAGCAGCAGTAGAAAGAACACCAAGAAAGTCTCGTAGTGTGCAAGATGACAACGAATCAATCAAGTAAGTCAGTATAAAGTTACTATATGCTCAAGGGAAAGAGAAAGGAATTTTGAGTATATGTTTGATAATGGTTGTATTGCAAACTTTTCAGGTTCAATTTTATCATAGAATTTTCAGACTCAAAATTTCAATCAATGCTAATCTACTGGGATAAGAAGTCAAATAATTTGGTAGCATAGTACTTACTAAATCACCTAAGCATGGTACTTTTTGACATATATATCTATATATAGAGAGAGATATAGAAGATAAAGAAGATGATGAAGGTTTCTATTAGATGCATACCATCAGTCTTTTGGTTGTTTTGTTGTGTTACGAGTGTTGTATAGATTGTGTGGGAGGACTAAATCCCTCACCATGTTGATATCAGATCACCATTAGTTGGAGGAAGAGGTTTACCTGGAAAGTTTGGCGGGGAGATCTCAGAATCAGATACTGACATATCATTTGTGAGCTCTGGGAGGCCAAGTATCGACCACATGTCTTCTACACTCTATGACAGCGTGGATTCTGTCCAGACATCACAGCTTTCTACTAGCTCAGACCACAGCTTCGGGTCCATCCGGCTGGGACCTAAGTGGACTGATATCAGCTCACTGCATGAATTTTCAACATCCTCATTTGAGAGTGGAAGGACGTCAACTTCGTCACAGGTAAACATGTAATCTCCTTTGAGTACAAATCTCTGCACTTGTAGGCACCACTGAACATCTTAATCTTGATACATGCACTCATAGTTGTTAGTATCGTACAATATGCGATTCGATATATAAGATACACTTTGATACATAAAGAAAACAATACGTATCGCTTAAATATATTGATTTGCAATGTTTCATGCGATGCACGATACGATATACCCAATACAAAACGATACATATGAGTTGTCTGATAAGAGGTGAAATAGATAAAAAAAAAATTAAAAAATCATTCATTTTCACTCGGAAGTTATTCTTTCATACACTAAGTAATGAAACGACGTCGTTTCACTATCTACAATTTAAAAAATAAAAATCTTCTTTTTTATTCGTTCCATCTCGTGAACAAATAGTTTAATTGTTAAAAATGTCATCCTCTGACTACTTTAAATATTAGAATTATAACTCTCTAAATTTTGATATTGATGAATTATGTTAGAAACTTCAAGACTTAAGATTTGTAATTTTTTGTTTTGGTTCTTGTAATCTCTTTAAATTGTTTTGATATAAGAAATTTGTGGTGAAATAAAATGTTATTATGACATTATCATAGGTATATGTATTTTTTAATATTTTTGATAAAATTACTCAAATGTTACGATACGCGGTTCACTGTTTTTGAAAAACGATACTACTTCCGACACACATTTTGACAACCTTGCATGCACTATATGATGTAGAGTAGGAATGAAAGAATTAGGGATAAGAAGAGAAGAAAAAAATGATGAGAAAAGAGAAAAAATTTGAGAATGAAATAATATCAGTATTCAATAATAATCAAAGTCTCTCTAAAACCTTAAATGCATCCTTTTATTTAAGAAAACCAAAACCTTAAAACAAATAAATAATAAAAAATAAACCCTCAAAAGTTAAAAAAAATTACTTAAAAGATAAATATTAAAAGTATCTAAATAACTCTCATAAATAATCTATAATATCTATCAAATTCCTACACAATCCCTATCATTTTTCCCTGATTGAAAAAAATCTCATCCGGAGAGTCTTCAAAGTAGAAGTACCTTAAGAGAGCAGAATGAAGATGACAGAACACCTCATCTATAATGAAAGAACTATCAACATCTTTCCATCGATCAAATAAATGCAAAAATGTCCATTTGTGGCAATATAAATCTAGTCATAGCACATCATCTATTTGGCCCGAAATACGCAATAGAAGTGGAAAGATAAAAACTGGAGCTAGTGTTGAGGAAGAAGCAATTCCACCTGAAGAAACACCGGATAACGAAATAGGATGCTCTGGAGTACCTGGATTAAGTGGCATGTCTTCTGAATAAAAATCTGGACTAATATTAACATTCAATGAAAAATTAAGCAAATAAACATTAAATCCAAATTCAAGAATAGCAAAATAATTCTCATTAGTTTTAAACCAAAAATATTCAATGGGACAAGATATCGATGACAAAGGAATACCAATAATGCCCTGGTGCTGAAAATAAAAATAAAAAAAACAGACTCAATTGAACACTTGACAATAGGCAAAGAAATAAAGTTAACACTCTCAAGTGGGGTAGAATCCAAAACATTGTCAACAATCTCTGGTAGAGAAGAATCCGAAATAAAATCAACACTCGCAAGTGGGGCATAATTCGAAATATAATCCACAACAATGCCTTTATGATTCGGAATAGTAGACACAAAATAATCGCCAACAGATTCTAAAATAGATAGCTCAATATGTTCAACATCTTGCATAGGAACCAACTAAATAGATTTTTTCTCAAGTTCAATGATTAGTGATGATTCAACTTTGGCTCTGATGAGGTAGGGAACATGATAGGATCAAAAATAATCTCATAACTAATATCGATGCTCAAACGATTGAAAGTATGTTTTGAAGGATAGAAAGCATGAGGGTTCAACGGAACAGAAATATGGCTATCATTATGCGGGTGTCCGAATTAGGTGAAACTGGAAACTTGTCTTTATTTTCGTCCATTACTGACTTGCAAGAATTTTAGTCAAGTGAAAAAGTTGAGTTGTTAATTCAGATAATTGATTTTTCATCCCTCTACACTCTATATGTAATTGGCTGAGTGAATGTTTGTTATTGGCAACTCCAATTTCAAATATCTTAATCTTTTTTCTCTAGGGCACTTTGGGTTTTTGAATGGTCATTGATATTTGTTTGGGCTTTTCCTAATCTGAATGTGGATAAAGAGAAAGATGTTATTCATATTGACTTGCAACTACCTCATTCAGTTTCATCAGATCAGAGTCCTCCTTCTTTGCATCCACAAGAGTTCATATCGAAGAAAAATGTGTGTGTGAATCTTTATTTGTGTCAATTCTTGAACCATCATTGGTCTTAGAAATTGTGAAAAACTCTGTTAAGTCTACACCTATTCAAGATATTCAGTCAATCGAGACATTTATTACAGAATCTACTAGTGACTATTATGTGTCTACTTGTCCAAGTCATCATAACTTTTTACGGATTCTTCCCAATTTAGAATTGTTGACTTTGTTCCTCTACCTACTGTCAAGTGTTCACTTGAGTTTGTACTTAATTATTTTCAACAACAGGGCGTTATTGTTACTCCTATGTCATTGAAGTCTTTTCCCACTGAATACTTGTTGTTCAAATCTGATGGAAATTGTTTTCCTATTCTTGAATTTGGATCTAATATTTATTTACTGAATTTTTCATTGAATGTTATTATTAGTCCGAATTTTTATTTAAAGGATATGTTACTTAATCTAGGCACTCCAAAGCCTCTTATTTTATTAGTAGGTGTTTCTACATATGCAATTGCTCCTTCCTCGGCACAATTTTCAGTTCTTATCTCTCAACTTCCATTGCACATTCCGAGGCAAATAAATGATATGTTGCAGGACCAGGATGGATGTTGTCCACAATATCCTACTCGATGGACAATTATATATCCTTCTTTCAGTATAGAGGAGTTCTACCATCTTGGTCATGCACTCTTAGAGTAATTTGGCTTTGATGACTCTCCGGATGAGAGTTTTTCTCAAATGGAGGAGAATAATGGGGATCATATAGGAATTGGATAGATATTATAGATTAGTTATGAGAGTTATTTATATAGTTTTAGTATTTATATTTTAATTAATATCTTTTAACTTTTGAGGGTTTATTTGTTTTAGGGTTTTGATTTCCCTATATTAAGGGATGCATGAAAGGGTTTTAGAGAGACTTGAATTATTTAATATTATTGAAGCCGGTTTGGCTAGATCTTCTTGTTCCCTTCTCATCCCTTTTCTTCTCATTCTTCTATTTCTCATTTCCTTAATTCTGCTCTTTACTTCTCATCTTCTTTTATTGTTCTATTCTCATCCCTATTATCTTCTCCTTAATGTAGATTAAGAATCAAGCTAATACGATCTACATCAATATAGTCGAGTAACGAATATTGGAGTTTTTTTTTTATTAATTATAACACATTAGCAGCTTCTTGCAATTTCATCTCTGTACAAATTAAACTCAAGTAAACAAAGCTCCAACCATGGCCAGCTCAACAATGGAGTGGAAAAAGCATGGGTTTTAGGCCCACACATTAAAAAAAAACCCCAAATTTTAAAGTTCAATAATTTAGTATAGATCAAAAATTAAAGCTCGTTATAATTTAGTTTAACAAAAAAACTTTTAAAAGATTAAGTCAAAATAAAATTTGGAATTTAGGTTTAAAAGTGCAGTCTACCTCACAAATATACATTACACATACATATTTATTAAAGGACAAAAAAGGTTAACACTTTAATAAAAGTATAATAAATATATCTCTCTTCCACAAATTAAAATAAATCGAACACATTTTTTATTTATCTCAAACTCGATTATGAACTCATTTCAATACAAAAACACCAACTAATTAAATTGTTCATTCTCATAAAGGATCCACAATAAAAATTAATTAATATCAAAAATAATTCGATAAAATTATTATCAGAGAAAGTAAAACACAACAAAATAGTAGGTGAGCATTACATATATAAACAAGTAATGGATTATAAAAATTTAAAAAATAATAAAATAATTCAATAACAAGATAATAAAAAATTATGAATATATTTGATAGTCGATAATCTAATACCATAATTTTCATGAAGAACATACAAAACAAATAAGAAGAACATGAAAATAATAATGAAATAATATATTATGTTCCGAAAAGTGTGATTCAAGCAAGAGACGAGAGAGACAAATAGATGTGCAAATCTGTTTGTTAAAAAATATGTATTTATAGTCATGATGATCTATGTATATTTTCAATTCCTATGGATTTTACTATTGAACAATTGCACTCTTATAATATGATTATGAAATAACACATATCTAATGTTTATTATATATTAAATGTCAAAATTATTAAAAATAAAAATTATGTGACACCACGTTATAACATTGAACATCTTTACTATGACAATATCCCTTGTAACGGTCCACGCATTATTTTTGACAAATTTAAAAAATGCATAAAATATGGAGTAACACATATTACCTTTATTCCTTATGCGTCATCTATTAATTAATTTGTCTCACTTAATCGTTTTCATAGACGAAGACTCGATAATGAAGTGTAAACACAGACTACAATTGTTACGAGATGCACAAATACTTCGATTATTTGAATGGGAGGAGACATAGCAGTACATTAAAATAGTTTCCTAGAGCCCTAATTTAATTTTCAGTCATTAGGTCAACTTCATGTTTTGAGACCTTTTGAATAGATTAATTATTATTTTTTTGGCGAACCTTAATGGTACGAGAGAATTTTATTGATTAAAAATTAAAGTACACATATTTAGGGGGACTTCTGTATTTTACCTCGCAATGCAATCTAATTATAATAATTAAGGAATTAAAAAAATTCTAATTCATGGTAATTACATGAAAATAAAATAATAAATAATTCTAAAATGCTGAACTTCCTAAAAATTCTCCAAAGATGATAAATATTATCCATTTAAGGGCCAATATATTTCAGAAATCTATTTAAGACTTTATAGAAAATTCTAAAATGTAACAATATTTTCACGTGTCTATATAATGTCTTGTATATATAAAGTTCTAAAATATGACAAAACCTTCTAAAAAGATCTAAAAGTAACGATTTCTAACTTTAAAAGTATCAATCTCTCTCAAATTCTTTTTCACTATTTTTTCCTCTATTCTCATCACCTATTTCCAACTTTTTCTCTCCCTCAAACTCTCATTGTCTTATTCCGGTTCTTTCTCCTTATCTCTAACTCTCTTATCGTCTCTTTAAAATTCATTCAATTTTTTCATCAATAAGATCCTGACTTCATAATTGCACCCAATTTTTTATTAAATCCTAGTCAATCCCAAAAGCACTAAAATATTGAAAATAAATCATACCGCAATTCTCTATAAAACATCTAATAATAGTTAAAAAAATTTATTATCTTATTAAAATATTAAATGAGGTATCATGTAAAATTTTCGCTTTAGACCTCAATTTACTTTGGGCCGCCCTTGGCTCTAACTGGAAGTTTGCAATCCTAGTTTTCAGTCCATATGTCCAGTCATACAAAGTGAAGTTGCCCTATGATACCACCACAATCTTGCAATCAGATTACCAACTGCAACATGTACTAATGCACAAGCTGATAAAAAGTGAACCATGTAGTCGTATTGTGAAATCAAGATCATTTTTGTTCTATGCTCATAAAATATTCAATATGCAGGATGATGCGGAAGCTGAGATGAGGAGGCTAAAGCTAGAGCTGCAAAAAACAATGGAGTTGTACAGTACAGCATGCAAAGAAGCTTTGACAGCGAACCAAAAGGTACCTGCTATATGCATGTACAAACCCCATCATAAGGGCTAATGTGATTTGTGCTACAGGCAGTGGAACTCAATCGTTGGCGAATTGAAGAAGAACGAAGATTAGCAGATGCTCGACTTGCTGAGGAAGCTGCACTGATGATGGCAGAGAAAGAGAAAACTAAGTGTAGGGCAGCCATGGAGACAGCTGAAGCAGCTCAGAGAATTGCACACCTGGAAGCACAAAGGAGAATTAGTGCTGAAACGAGAGCCCTGAAAGAAGCAGAGGAGAAACAAAGGGTATTGAATACTATAGGTCAAAATGATGTCAGGTACAGGAAATACACCATCGAGGAGATTGAAGAAGCAACAGAGTATTTTGCTGAATCTCGGAAGATTGGGGAAGGAGGTTATGGCCCTGTCTATAAGTGTTATCTTGATCATACACCGGTGGCAGTAAAGGTCCTACGTCCAGATGCTGCTCAAGGAAGGTCACAATTTCAGCAAGAGGTAAGGACTAAGAGAAAATTTCAGCAAGAGGTAAGGACTAAGAGAAATGACCACATGAATTCTATTGGTTACTCTCGGCTGAGAGTCAAAAAATTCCCCAAGAAAACTCCACATTACTGTGTAAAATCAAGTATAAAAAGTTCCTTGCTTTTAATCAAACCTAGTTGATTTGAGCAATTCTCATGAAGTGATGAAACAAAACAAAAACAAAAACAAAAGCAGCTTAACTACATAATTGTTTTATCAGTTCTGTACCACCCATCAACCAAGATTTTGTGTCTATGTTACCATTCTAGTACATACCAGTGCTGGGAAGTAACCACCAAACAAGAACTCATAGCTTATCTTGGGTTTAACTTTTTTTTTCTTTTTTCTTTTTTTTATCTTGAGTTTAACTAACATGTCGTCAAATATATACGAGCAATTGATCAAATAATGAAGTTAGTTAGCTGCTTCTACCATGGATACTGCACATTACAACTACTCTTAATGCACATTTTTTTTCTTTGCTATAGTACTCTCTTTTGACGGTGTTCACAGATCACCACAAAGAATTAAGTTTCTTCCTTAAATCTTTTGCTTGGAAATCTAATGCAGGTAGAAGTACTGAGCTGCATGCGACATCCTAACATGGTACTACTCCTGGGAGCGTGCCCAGAGTATGGCTGCCTGGTGTATGAGTACATGGCTAATGGTAGTTTAGAAGAATGTCTATTCCGGCATGGGAATCGCCCTGCTCTGTCTTGGCAACTTAGGTTTCAGATCGCAGCAGAGATTGCCACAGGCCTGCTGTTTCTCCACCAAACCAAGCCAGAGCCATTGGTGCATCGTGACCTAAAACCTGGTAACATTCTGCTTGACCACAATTATGTAAGCAAGATCGGTGATGTTGGATTGGCCAGGCTTGTCCCTCCCTCTGTTGCTGATGATGTAACACAGTATCGAATGACATCAACGGCTGGAACTTTCTGCTACATTGACCCTGAGTATCAGCAAACTGGAATGCTTGGAGTTAAATCCGATGTTTATTCCTTGGGGATTTTGCTTCTACAACTGATAACAGCCAAGTCAGCAATGGGCTTGACTCACCATGTTGAACGTTCTATTGAGAAGGGGATATTTGCCGAGATGCTGGACCCAGCTGTGCCTGATTGGCCAGTTGAAGAGGCCTTGTGCTTCGCGAAGCTATCACTCCAATGTGCCGAGCTTAGACGAAAAGATAGACCAGACCTTGGCAAGATTGTTATGCCAGAGCTTAACAGATTGCGGGAACTTGCAGAAGAAAACATGATCAAATTCATGCCGGGTGGCAGTGCAGGCCCCTCTCCCAACCACAGCTACGTCTCCTTGACCCAGGTGAGTTTGGAAATGCACAGATATTAAAGATTTTAGACACATCAATATTATAGAGATATACCCTGCACAGAATAGCATCAAAAATTGCAATAAAGAGCCTAAATGGTTATAAGTGTGAGCATTTGTTAGTAACTGGAAAATTTATCTGTGCAAGGATCAGATTTTAATTATGATGACTGAGATGGCTACAACAAAATAGAATCGAAATCTTGTCAAACTGATTTGGTAGAGATTATTCCTATTGAGTGGGAAGAATTTGATTGTTTGTGGGTTCATCATCTGCAACACACACAGCATAACATCATTATGAAAGTACTTATTGTATATGAACCCAATAGTTTTGGATTTCACACGAACTTACAAAACATATACCATTACTTATGAGCTGTGGAGCTAAGTACCGAACGCTCAAGTTTAACCTAATGCTGAAACTTTCGTGCAGCCGGATGTGTTGAGCGATCCTTTGCCTGTACATTCCGGATATAACAGCTCGAAAAGCCACTCAAGCTCATCATTGACAGAAAAGCAATAGGGTATGTTTTGAGAAACATTATTTAACAGTGGAGAAAAAATTGATAATGTAAAATGAAGATTCATGGTTCTTATGTTTATTATATCAAACTTATATTTGATTATTCCCAGGACCAAGTGGCTGAGTTCAGCACTTAAAGAAAATTAGCACTTTTTGGAAATTTGGGAAGCTGTTTCAGTACTCGGTGCTTGTTTGTCTAAGCTGTAACTTTCAAGCACAGCAAAGTTTGTAGTGGAACTGTAAATTCTGCTGTATATTGAAAGGTTGCATGGTGCTTAGAGATGCAATTTTGAAGGCACTTGTATATATGGATTAAACAAACTGTCACAATGCGCGCGGTTATTCGATCGTGATAGCACTTGTCATGCCAGACATGGAATTAATGTTATATTATTGAATATTTATTCATTAATTTTTTTAAAAAAAGGCAAGAGATGTCTCTTCCGCGGGTAATTCTTGAATGCAAATAAAAATGAGGAATGTTAAAAGTGATAGACAAAAAAAACAAAAAACAAGGACCAATGATGCTGTTATCATTATGGTGTCAAATTCCTCACGAATACCCAAGTTTTTGCATGGATAGTTTGTATTTGACAGGACTGAAGAGGGAACTAGTCAAGGTGCGTTCAAGTTAATCCAGAAATTATTGATCGTTGAGCCCAAAAAAAAAAAAAAGAAACAAATGATATATAAAGATTTCAAATGTTTTATGATTCATCATTAAATTTATTAGGTCCCATTGTGCAGTATTTTGATTATTGATGAGTGGTATTAATAATTAGTTATCCAAATAGTGGAATCTCACTATTTCATTATATACTATATTCAATATCTAACAAATTGAATTAAGATTCATTAAACCTCTTAATTGATCTACAAGTGATTTGGTAGATGCCATTTAATATCATCATTATATTGTATATTTTTTCTCTTTTAAATATTGGAAACAAAATATTTAGTAATATTCAATGAAAAAAAATTAAAATTTATGAGGCTCTAGGTAAATCATGACCTTATTTAAATTATAATTAATAATTCATATTATTTTTGGAGAAAATATTCATTATAATAGTGATATCATGTTAGTATTGTCATTTAATATCACGAACTAATAATAAATAAATAAGAAAATGAGCCCCACTAACATGATAATTAAACAACTAACTAAGTGTAGTTAATCTTGACGTTTTAATATTGATTTGTGATACCATATGACAATACTAACATGATATCAGAATTATATTGAATATGATAGGTTGTCCCATGTGATGCATGGAATTATAATTGGTATTTTTTATTTAAAAAATATATTTTATAAGTTAAATAATTAATTATATAAATTTTTTGGGTGATTAAAATTAACTTTTGTGAATAAATTTTAATAAATATTGGTTAATTATTAAGAAGTTGTAGCTAGTTATTAATGACATATGTCAGCATCTAATCGAAAAAAAAAATTAAAATTTGAATTAAAATTTAAATAGAAAATGAGGACCCACCTTTTATTTGATTGTTTTTATAGGTAGATAGATTTACTCTATTTTTTTGGCACAATAGTTCCACGGTATCTCCGTTCGTCGACACGACATTGTCGGTCGGACTCGACTTGGGCCCACAGAACGTGATGTTACATTCTCCAAGTGACGTGGCGGTCTGGGAACAGACGGGTGGATTTTAAGGAAGGTGTCAAATTGGTTACTTCTCTCTCAGCACGTGTCCTGTCATAGTCTCTCTATCCCCTCTACCCTGTTTCGGTTGCAGTAATATAGCAAAGCCAAGAGACAAGGTAATTGTTTTCTTTTCATCGCGCAGAAGCGGTCAAGAAAGATTAACCACCACTTCGCTCGCAGACATGGCAGGACAAGGCCAAGTATTGAAGACCAAAAGCCAACCTAAAGTTGATATCCTGGTCTCTCTCTCTCTCCCTCTCCCTCTCTAACTTTTTCCCTGTATTAAATTCGATCATGATTGCTTGGGGTTTACTCAGTTGAAATAATTAGGGTGGTGTAAAATTGGTCTGTGTGTGTGTGTGGGGTGTGATGAATATTGCAGGAAAGGGGGGAAATATTCTTCTTTTACAGGCCTAAAGTGGACAAAGAAGGAGCACACAGCCCTGATGATGTGCAGAGGTTGTACATAGTTCTCCGGCCGGAGTCCGGCCAGAGGCCCGTTGAAGAGAAGCAAGACCCACATTCCGGTAAGGAAGGTGCCAAAATGGTATCCAAAAAAGCAGCCGGCAGTACTTCTGGGAAGGAAGGTGCAAGTGAAGGTGGACATGGAAGCGCGGTAATAAGCAGGAGACTCACCCATGCTTTTCTGTGCATGTTAAACCTGTTGATTATCATTGGGTTTATACTTTCAAAAATATTATTTTTGACCTAGTTTATTAAATTAATGCATCAGAGTCATTCAATTGGAAACGAGTCCCAACTAATATTAGGGTCACTGTTGGTTCATTAGGTCAATAAATTAAATCTTGATAATTACTTGTGTTTCGTTTGATATGATGAAAAAATAGAAGAATAAAAAGTTAGAGAAAAGTTAGAGGGATAAATAAAATATTATATTTAGTAAGGAAGGAACATATGAATGATGAAAAAGTATATGAGTTAACTTTTCTTCAAATTCATCAAAATTAATTCCTCCAAAATTAAAAGGAAAGTGAATGAAAAATTAATTATTTGTGTTTAGAAGTATCTTATTTGTCTATGTATCTTTTTACATATACATATATATGATGTATATATTAATTTCATATAAAAAAACAATGATAAAATATGTATATATATATATATATATATTAAAAAATTTAAAATTTAAAAATAAAAATAAAAATTTTAAATTAAAAATATATATTTTTTTCTATCTTAGTTAGGGGTGAAAATTTTCGACTCAACACGATTCGAACTCAACATGAATTAATTAAATGAGTTGAGTTAGATTTGATTAATATTCGACACAAACAACATGAATCTGATAAGACACGACTCGATTTTCAACCTTAATCTTAGCCAACACAAAAAAAAAATAGTTATTTTTATTTTTCAGTCATCCTATCAAACACAAAGGAAATAAAGTGTATCATTTCTATTTTCCTTCTTTGAAGGATAAAAAGTGTATTACTCTTATTTTCTATCGTTCCTACTTTCTATCATTCTTACCAAACGGAACATTAGAGTCGGACAATGAGGTAAATATTCTAGTTCCAATACCCGTGAACCAAAAATATAAAAAAATAAAAATATTAATCCTCCGCCTATTCATTGCTGTTTATTAGTAGATATTCAACCTAGAAGAAGGCCATTACAGCATTGTACTAATTAGGACAACATTTTACCAAATGATTATAGGTAGTCAATATAGAGAAGCAACCTTTGCTACGCCTCCTCATCATAGGACGAAAACGCCTTCCAGACCCAAGCAAGAAAAGACAACCTTATTGGAGTTTTGTGGAGTTTGTCACCACCAGAATTGAAGATGTGAAAGCTGCTCTTCAAGGAGGTTAGACCCTTTTTTTTTTCCAATGTTGTTTGTAATACGACAAAGCTGATAAAAAAAATAAAACAAAACAAAACAAAAATAGACAAACAACACGAATCATTGATCTGGCATTAATAAAGGTACTTTGTTCTTTTTTACTCATATTTACCCACATCTTACTTGTCATGAATGAGTCTTTTCATAGAAAGATCATTGACAAAAAAAAATTGGGTCCAGATTTCCTACGGACAACACCAATCTGTGTTTTTGGTTTTTTTTTTTTCCAAAGTAGCCATTATCCCAAGTACTGTTTAGTTTGCGTATCCGAAAACATGTTTTTAGGGAAAGAATCCAAAAATTAGTTTTGATATTTTTTGTATCGCATAACTTGTTTGGTTATATAATTCTAAAAACAATTGTACAGAACTAAAAACAAAAAACCTGTTTAGACAGTAAGACAGAGAATAATGAAGACACAAATGTTGTTTGAATTGAATGTTTCACCGAAAACATTTCAACAATCTCTCTCAGGTATTGTATTCAGAACTTTCTAAGCATTATCCAAGCATTGAACAGTAACTCGACCTCCGTGTTTTCAAAGTTTTTGCCAAAATGAGATTGAAAACAAGTCTGGCTTATTTATTTTTTTTATGCTCTATTTCCCTTATTTTTTCGAAAATCGGAGAATAAAGACTCAAAGCAAATAAGTTTTCATTGTTTTTAAAGTGTTGAGAACAAAAACAAGTTTCAAGAATCAAGCCAATCAGCCCTTTAATTTTTAAGTTAATAGAATTTTTAGTCCCTAAAGTATATATATATATATATATTTTTTTATCAATTTAATACTTATTGTATCAATTTTGCCTATAAAATATTCAATTTGTGTCACTTTGACCCTTACATTTTTATTTTTTTTTGTTAATTATAACCTTTTATATTTTATTTTTTTGGGAAAAAAATGAGGGGAGGGGAGGGGAGAAGGGAGACTTGAACCCTTCACTTTGACCTTTTTGAGAAGGCAAAGTCTTTACAAGCAGGAGTGTTCAACTGACAAATAGGGTCAGAAGTGTCAACATCCGCTGGCCGATCCGTAAGCAGTCGGAAGTGGGAATGATAAACTGAATTGAGCCGAACCACACAACCGACCGAGCCGACAACCAACCTTATGTGTCGATCGGTTTCTGTTCGATCATCGGGTGGAATGAGTCCACACTTTTGAATCAAATTTAGAGAGAGAGAGAGAGAGAGAGAGAGATTTGAATTAAAGGATTTTCAACATATACGAAAATTAAGAATCAAATATGAACAAAAAATCAAAAAAAAAAATCAGATTCGACAAATTAACACATGCCCAAATCAGATTAAAAAAAATTCAGATTCAAAAACTTAAAACATTTAATAATTAGATCTAAAAAATGATTCAGATTCATCTATTTAAAACATGCACAAATCAGAAAAAGAAATCAGATCCAAAAGAAGAGAGTACATACAATAGAGTTCAGATCTGAACGATATGGTTCAAATCTACGCCTTGGGACAGTAGAAGCTTGTGGTCGACTAATTTTATCAAAATCTCCAGATCTACTCAATAGTGTTCAAATCTAAACGATATAGTTCAGATTTACTCTATGGACAGTAGAAGTTTGTGGTCGATAGTAAAAGTGGATGAAGAACATAAGAAAGAAGAAGAAGAGGAGAGGTGGTAGGAACTGTGTTTCGGATCTTGTCTCATCAGATGGCTATTACATTTTGAGAGGGAGAGAAAAGGAGTTGGATTGCTAATAGTTTGGAGAGTTAGGGGTGGGGGGTGTTCTAAAGAAAACGTAGCACTGTAGTAGGATTTGGGGGTTTAATATTTTTGTTTTTATATTTTTTTAAAAGGTAAAATAATATTTTATATTTTTATATTATTATTCGATTCGGTTCGGATATGTTGGGTTGTGACCTTTACCTATTCATTATCCGAACCGAATCAGTCGGGTAAAACTTTATTTTATCCGAAATTCGAACCGCATATATTTTTAACCACCCATTTTCATTCGGTTCGATCGGGTAAGGGTCGGTTAATCGGGTAAATGATTATTCTGCACACCCCTATTTACAAGGTAAGGAGTACCATTGGACCAAAGACTCATTTACATAGACGAACGTTAAGGTTTTTTTACGGAAGTGATCACATGTTATTTTTTAAGACTGTATTACGTGTCCGACATATTATTCTCCTGTCAAATATTTAACGATCTGTCTATATAAGAATCAAAGTGATTCGAATTAAATATTTAAATATATATTTTAAGGATCAAAACTGCTATTAACCCCAAATTCTTTAAGCTACCGAGAAATATGATGTTAAAAATGCTTCAATTGTAGATGAATATGAAACCAAAAGAAAGGACGCCGCCGTATTCCTCCTGCCAGAGCTATAGGGGAAGGCATCTACTGCATAGTAAGGCACTATCCAAGCAAACAAGCACACACTCACTTGGTGTACAAGCTTGAATTTCCAGCAGAAGATGAGAAAAATGAGCCCCAGGAGGCACTTAACATCAAACGCGAAGGCTCGTTTATCATACAAATAAAGAACCCAGATCAACATGGAACTTCGCAGTCCATAGGGATTCAGAACAAGCGGAAGGCCGCGTTTCCGGCTCACTTGCAGGAGCGTTTCGGGCATCGACGGTGGCATCTGGCCGATCCGCCTGACTTTCTGAACTATGAAGGATGCGAGCTCATGCTCATCTCAGCTTCGGATGACATTGAAGATGAGCTTGGGTTGGAGCTGAAGACTGAAGGAGAACATGAGCCGTCTTGTTCGGACTTGTTGAGAACTTTTGGTGAGGATGTATCTACTCGTCCCCTTCTTAGGGGCACTTGGGCTTGAAGTTGAACACATGGTGCATCTTAGTTTTGAGTCCAGTAACTACGGCATGGATGTTTTGTAACTAAGTAGGTTGTAACTTTGTCTTGTGCGTTTTTGTTGTGTACAGTGATCGGGCACTTGGGTCTGAGAGGGATCGGATTGCCCGTGGTTGTTGCACTAGGTCCTTTTTGGTTGTGTGTCCGTACGGGGGGTTGAGTTTGGGTCTTTAAGTTAAGCCATGGATGCTAGGAAATCTCTCGTTTGCTATGGGTTAGTGTTGGTCTTCATACTTGTGAATAGTGACACTCATGTATAAGATTGTATATGTTAGTGGGTGTTTGTCTCGATGTTACTTGGATCGTAGCTTGTTTTGGTACATGATATGAATGTAACTACGTGGTATAATATTTTTTAAATACGTGATATGATTGAGATAGGTTTAGTTAGTAATGTATTTTAGGTTTCAATTTATTTTTGAAACTTTGTTTAGATCGTTTTCATTATCATGTAGCATTATATACCATACAACATTTATATTTAAAAATTCTAAGTCAATTATCATTTATTTTATATTTAAGCATGATTTTTTATTATCTAAAATAATATATAATTATAAATCTATATAGACATGGTCATTTAATATGTATTTTATATTTGTGTTAAATGTTCTAAAGCAAATTGATTTAGTGTTATTATATCAATTTGAGATCATATATTTTGATAATATGGATAGCAAATTCATTCATTTGGAATTGATATATTTAGATCCCGGGTCATCAGGGATTTAACGAATTCTAATAACTATTGTCTACATATATATGGATCATGATGAAAACGATTTGAGTTGGCATGTAAGCTGTTCACAATATTTTTTTTTTCTCCACCATTAAGAGATCAATTCTAATAAATAGTAAAGTATCTAATAATTAGTAGTGTAAGTGATACGAAATAGAGTCGTTATGTTTGATGTAGATGGACATTGATGTAATAAAAGCACCTAAAGAGGATTGTGTAACAATCTCATACGACACTTTTTTATTATATTAACGATTGAGAAAAGTTTTTATGTAATCTGGTAGAATTTCATGATATTAACTTTGATTTTATTATCATTAGCATTTATTAAATTTTGATTATATAATGAGTTGATTTGGTTAGGAACAAAGTTTAATAACACACGACCCGAACTCGATGTACATCCCCCACTTGTTACAAGATTATTATTCAAGATTTTCATACTTTTTTGGGCCACCTTCCCTAGATTTAATCCCTGCGTATGAAAAGTAGACTTTGCATGTAGGTCCAGATTAATTACCGATTGCAGGTTCAAATGAACTCGATTAGTGGAGGTCCTAGATTAAAGAAAATATATATATATCTAAACCTAGTTTTGAGTGTCGTTTCTTAACATAGGGAAGGAAAATACATAAAAAAATGTTAATTATACTAATAATCTATGAAGTTTACCACTTGTTAAAATTTCATCTCTAAAGTCTCAATTTAGTCCTCAAACTTTGGGTTTTGAACAAAGTTCTCATTCTCCCTAACTACCGTCCAATAACTGACGAAAAACAACACATGCATAGCACATGTAGAAGATAGAAGGGCATCACCGTCTTTTCTCCTTATTTTCCCCTACATCCAATCACCTTCTCTCCCATTATATGTCTTGATACGGACGAAACTCGAGGCCAAGGCTTCGATGGCCCAGAAGCCTGACCAGCCCAAGAGGCCCGGAGCAAAGAAGGAGGACTTAGAATCGGCAAAAAGCCTATAACCCAGCAGTCCGGCCCTAGTCCAAACCATAAAACGGTTTGGAGAATGAAAGCCCAGTCCAAGCTATTTCTGGACCGCCATAGGGGACCACGCATCCTGGGGATCCAGGGGGACCACTCCTGACACCTACGACAATCTAAGAGAAGGCGGAGCACCAGGCCTCCAGAGATCATGGCGACGGCAGCGCCAGATGAACAGTGATCGTGGTGGCAAAAGAAGTAGGAAGGGGACAGAAGAAAGGACAGCTGAAAGCCCAATAAGGGGCCAATATAAATAGATAACAATAACCTAGAAAAATAGAGGATCATCTTCCCTAAAAAGATCAGAGAACATTTAAGAGCCTAAGAGCGTAAAAAGCAGAGAGAGAATACCTAGATACTCATCATTTGTAAGTGGACCCTAAGTCCCGAGTTATAGGAGGCACTTTGCCGGCCAATGAATATATAAACCCAGTAAGCAAGAGACTCAATTAAAAGTGGATGTAGGCTTAGTCATTCTGCTAAGGTGAAACCACTTATATTCTCAGTCTAACTCATCATAAAAGATTAATCCAAAACCTGTAAAACCATTTCACAACACCATCCCGTCATAGTTGGGCTTGGGCCACAAATTTTGAGCACCATCATGTCTAATTGATGAACCCTAATGTGTAACAAAGGCAAATTTTAGTGGGGCGAACCAAGCCAAGCTTCATCAGAGAACGAAGCCAAGTTTCATCACAAGGTCCATATGGATCACACTTATTGCAACTATAGGAGAAGGACTCGAATGTTAACGTTTTGGACAAATCTAAATCCAGGAAGAAGATTCTTTGAATGTGAGAGAAATAAGATAAATTTTATGAAATTGTATTATATGAAAGTTAATAACAATCTTTGTCGAACCTATGTTTGCTAGAATATGCAACGAAATGGCGGATGTGGGTATTTTGTGTGGTCTGATCTTCCTAAATGTATACGATCGAAGAATATCATACCGAGATTACTCAGGAAAATCACAATACTGGAAGGAAAGCTGACCAAATTTCAATGCAGAGAAAAAGTTGTGTGGTTGTTGCTTGTACTTACGTGGTTATGGGTGTTAACAAAATGAAACTGGTCAGATGCCTTTGTAAAATGAAGCTGCTAGTTATGGGTGTTGAAGTTGCTAAGATGCTAGTTTTGTACTTATGGGTAGAAGGTATATCTAATTGCAAGTTGAAACCAAATATCTATTTTATATGTTAGTGCAATTGGTATCGATTTTGTTCCCTATGTTCTCTCATCAAGTGATCCAAAAAACACCATAATAAGGGTTAATTGCATTAAGAACACAACCTATTCAATGATAAAAGGATTAGCTATTCAAAAAAGATGGAACATTAAGAACCCATTACATTCAACATTTTCAGTGACAAAAGGATCAGCCATTCAAAAAGGAGGGAACATTAAGAACCCATTATGTTCAACATGTTCAATTCCAAAAGGATGCTACTAGCATTAGCTAGTACATAAAATAGAGAACATTAAACCTTAACACAATAGTTCTTGGATTCCACCACTAGTCACTGAGTTCCTACTGCTAGTCTTGTGTTGTGGTTGGTGCATTCATATTATTCTTCCTCACAGCCCATTTATCTCTCTTGCTTGAAACATTGGTTACTCCAGCTCCTGCACCAATTACTCCACCTGACACTGTTGTTGCACTAGTCACTCCACCATGACACTATTTCTACACCAGTCACTCCACTTAACACGGTTCCTACACTTGCACCATTTCTTTTCTTTCTTGCCCTTGCCCCTATACCTTTTTGGTTGACTCTTTTTCTTCTTACATTAACACCTACATCAGCCCCTGTAGTTGTCCCAACAATTGCAATTGGTCCTACGCCAGCCCCAACACTTGTCCCAGCAGTTACAGTAGCCCCTGCCCCATCACTTGCCCTTGCACCTGTCCTAGCACTTGTGGCTGGATTTATTATAGCAACTCTACAACTTTTCTTGTTATGTGCCCTCGCACCACATTTTCCATACCTTAAAGAATTCTGGAACTTTCTCAACTTATTTGGATTTCAATTGGTTCATTCCTCTGGTTCCTTTCTTCTTTGGCCTCCTTGTGACGCCCTAAAATTTAGGTGTCCATAATTATCTCGTTGATTATCCATTAACCCATAGAATACCTATGGACACCGTGTAACTAGATACCACGCCTTTATGCCCTATTTATCGGGATCTATAACTTAACAAAATTCGGGTGAAATCTCCTTTGTACGGGAAGCTCTATCCAATACGCAACATGTGCAATTATACAACATTGACCACACCAGGTCCATTCATCCAGACTCAATTACATAGTATTAGATACTACTATAATCATCATCACTAACGTACATTCATTCATAAAAGAATAAATGTCTCAAAAGAGTCCTCTGTACATGTCTTTTAAATAGAAACAAATTTTTGTTACAAAAATTATACAAGGCCAAAAGTAAATATAAACAAGGGACTATGACGTCAAAATAAGAGCCACAGTCTGGCTCTGTCGTCAAAGCGGACCAGTAGGAGGGCCTTCGGTGAAAGCCCGTGGTGTACCTGAAAATTGTTTCCATAAAGGGTGAGTCAACGCTCAATAAGGTAACTCCTATAGAGAATACCTATCAACCTAAATACATATGAAATGTCACATGCAACAATCATTTCATGCTTTCATTCAAATATGTCTATTATGAACAAATGTCATAAATCATGTCATGCTATGAGATGAGACTCAAGTAAGCAATACCAACACCGAGCCTCATCTCGAGCTCCTACAACACACGCAATGTCATACGTATGTATTCGGACATTCCAAGTCTCCGTCATTGGTATTATATACACTCAATGACTAATTAATGTATTTTCTTGTGTCTTTGTGGGGAGATGATTTATGGTCTACATTAATGGGACACCACACTATCAACGAATTTTCAGGACATCCCACCTGCGGCTCTGTTTTCACCGTTACACTTTTCTGAAATTGCACCGCTAGAAAGTATATAAACCAAGTAAGCGGATCTTGCACCCGAAGGAAAATCTAACCCTTCTTGCTATACCCCGACACTTTTATCCATTTAATTTCTCATGCGACTCAGTCGGACCTTGGCGTGACTTTTTCGAGCCCACGATCAACCACCTATGTGGTGATTGATTTTATACCATGCACCCACTCCCACCCATGTCAATACCCATGAATGTAGTGCAACCCAAGTATAATACAATACAATATGC